CAACTTCGACTTTCCAAAATGAGCACTCCCAAAATATATCATTTTGCTACCACTGTCTCCCTACTGTAAAATAGTCCATGGTTTCCAAGGTCTTTGGATCAAGTCCAAATTCCTACAGAGGAAGCTTCAATCCCTAGCAAAACTGTCCTCAACAACAGTGTTTGATTTGTCTCACAGCTTGTTCTCTCCTTACTCAGGGGACAATTTTATATCATTTGGAAATCATATCCCAAGATAGTATCTGCTCTATCTGTTTATTTAGCTCTGCCTACACAAGCTTTTTGTGGTTAAATGTGGCCTTAGGCATTTGCAAAGCTTGTGTCATTTTAGCATCTGAGCCAAAATCCTGGGTTTTTAAGGATCTGTATCTAGTATATAAGAGGCCTGCTTTGTCTTTTCTATTCCTCAGGCTCTCTTGAAGAAAAAGAGGTGCTGGAGAGAGTCCAGAAAGAGAGAATGAAACATGGAAAAGATAACGACATCCGTCATTTAAGTCTTGAGCAGGCTGATCCTCTGTACCTATTCTTGGAAGCACCGAGCTCCCTCCCCCTTACAGGAGATGCCCAGCTCTCAGTCACCCTGATTAACCCCAGTGACCACGAGAAGATAGTGCAACTGGTGATTGGAGCCCAAGCTGTGTACTACAGTGGAGTCCTCGCTGCTGATCTGTGGAGGGAGAAGCAGTCCCTTGGGCTCAGGGCCAACCAGGGTAACTGTCTATGGCTCTACCAGACACCCTTCCACACACACCTACCTTTACCCTGGCACCACCAAAGGTCTTCTGGTGCTTATGCTCTCTCCTTCAGTTACTCAACATATAGTTACTGGACCTAATGCTAAGGGGAGAAAACCACCATTCCAACTGCAGTCAAATAAGCAAACAGACCCATCACAGTAGTGAGGAAACTTCTGAGCAAGAGTGGGAGGCAGAAGAACATCTCATCCAGGCTACACCAGGCCGCCCCCAAATGAGTCACACTACACTGAGTCTTGAAGGCCAAGTAGGAGTGAGGTAGTAAAGTACAGGTCTCCTGACTCTACCTGTCATATGTTTCAGTTACAAGAATAACCACCAGCCTGTCCTTCTCCTACTTTGAGCGAAACCCACCTGAGAACACGTTCCTCAGAATCACTGCAGTGGCAACCCACTCCGAGTCAAGCCTCAGCTGCTTTGCTCAAGAAGATGTTGCCATTCGTAGACCGCACCTTGTCATCAAGGTAAGCACCAATCCTCTCCCAAACTGCTCATCCCTGGGATGGAACTGTTGCCATTATTCAAATGAGGAAAACAAGTAGAAAGAGCAACATGCCCAAGTTCAGAAAAGTAAGAAGTTCTAAAAACTCATGACTCTTGGTCCAGCCCTCTTTCCACCAGCCTACTCCGGCTAAAATGAATAAGATCTGATCCCTGCCCTGGAGGAACTTATAATTTGGTAAGAGAGACACAGCAGTTGGGCTTCTATATGAATGCTTTAAAAGAGATCCAAGGGCTGGGAAGATAGCTCAGTGCATGCCTTGCAAGCATGAAGCCCTGAGTTCGATTCCTCAGCACCACATAAACAGAAAAAGCCCGAAGTGGCGCTGTGGCTCCAGTGGTAGAGCTCTAGCCTTGAGCTGAAGAGCTGAGGGACAGTGCCCAGACCCAGAGTTTAAGCCCCATGACCGGCAAAAAAATAAAGAAATAAATAAAAGAGATCCAAAATCATGTGAAGTAGAGGGCTGATTTCAAATGGTGGGCTTGGGGACAATTTCATGAAAGAGCTGGTATTTATGTTGGGCCTTGAAAAATGGGTTTACTTTAAGTGCAAAGGTAAGGGAAGCCACTGAAGACAGAAAGAGATACTGGGGATGAGAAAGTTTCCAGCAAGGCAGAAGTGTAATTTAGTAACAGGAAAAACAGGTGAAGCTGGAGAGGTGAGTTGAGGAGGAATAATGAATTATTCCCAAGTTGAATTCCAAAGACAAAAAGCCCTCCAAGGTGTGGAGAAGAGGCACCACTGCAGGCTGTCTGCGATGAGTGAGGGCCAATATAGGAAGGGAAAAGACAGAAGGTCAAGAAGTCAGCTGTGTTGGTTTGAAGGAGATAAGGGAGTATTACCACAGAAGCCTTGACTATGGCACCACCCCACATGTTGCCTCTTCCTACAGATGCCAGAGAGAGCGAAACAGTTCCAGCCTCTTACAGTCTCAGTCAGCATCCGTAACTCCCTAGATTCCCCTGTGAAGGACTGCATGATCTCCATCTTTGGAAGGGGGCTAATTCACAAAGAAAGGAGGTACAGGTAAGAGACTACATGCTTCTCATTCACCAAAAGATCTGAACTGGTCAGAAAGGTGGAGACCCAAAATACGGAATTTTAAAACCACCACCTGTCTTCTGGGTTATATCAAATATCCCCAGAAGTTGAATTCAACTATTAAAGCTACCAAGTGCCTCTCATCCTGGGACAACGAGGTTTGCAGGGAGATGAGACTGAAGGAGTTTACGTATGTAAATGCTTCAACAGAGACCACAATCACGTGCCCTCGATGCTCCCTGGTCATGACGGAAGAGTCAGGTATTGCTAGTGAATAATGGGGGGAGATCAGGGCTAGGTACTGGAGACATCACAGGTAGGTACACTGCCTTTCAGCGCTGTGCTCCACTAACCAGCATACTGATAGATACTTTCTTTAGTTCCTTTTTCTTACTATTTTCATTTCCACTCTTTATATTCTTTGGGGTGTGGACCCTTTCGTTAGTATATGTAAAATATACTGCTACTTCACAACAACTTTTAACTTCTACATTTTTTTCACTCAGAACTGTTTTTAAGATTTATGCACATATCAAGTCTATCTCTTCTGCTAAATTTCATTGATGTATACCCCCTTTTTTTTTTTTTAATTAGTCGTGGGGCCTGAACTCTGGGCTTGGGCGCTGTCCCTCAGCTTTTCAGCTCAAGGCTAGCACTCTGCCACTTGAGCCACAGCGCCACTTCCAGCTTTTCTTGCTTATGTGGTGCTGAGGAACTAAACCCAGGGCCTCATGCATGCAAGGCAAGCGCTCTACCACTGAGCCACCTTCCCAGCCCCACCCCCACTTTCTACACTCTACTCCATGGTGATAGACATCCAGTGTCCCTAACAGTGTGACACCACACTATTCAAGTGAACAGTCCCAAGTCTTATATGCTTATTTGAAACACTGGTGAGGTTAGGGGCTATATATACGCAGGAATCCAATTGCTGGGTTACAGGATCTTCTCTGCCTGGTTTAACACCAGATAGATTTGCAGAATGGCTACAGCAATCAGCACAAGGTTTTTGGGGGTTTTTGTTTGTTTTTTGTCAGTCGTGGGGCTTGAACTCTGGGCTTGGGCGCTATCCCTGTGCTCTTCAGCTCAAGGTGAGCGCTCTACCACTTGAACCACAGTGTCACTTCCGGTTTCCTAGTTGTTTATTGGAGATGAGAGTCTCACAGACTTTCCTGCCTGGGCTGGCTTTGAACCACGATCCTCAGATCTCAGCCTCCTGTGTAGCTAGGATTACAGGCGTGAGCCACCGACACCAGGCTTCAGCACGATTTTATAGTCCCACTTCTTTGCTGCTCCTGGTAATCTCCAGCTGTTTTCTCCCTGTCTCATACACTAATGTTTATTGTTCATATGCTTGTTAACCTTTTCTGTTTCTTCCTCTGTGAACAGACGGTTCTTTCCTTTGCCACCTTCTCTTGTTGACTAGCAGCAGTTCACATGTATTCTAGGTATTAGTCCTTGTTAGTGCTAAGTGTTCCAAATCTCTTCTTTATGTCCATTGCATCTTTTGCTAGATAAGGTTTAAAGTTCAATATACCTATCTACTTTCCCTGAGATCCCTGGCAGCTAGCTACAGAGCCATTGCCTCAGCCTCATGAAACTGTCACTTTGGACAGTGAGAAGAGGCACTGCCAATATTTAACCCGGATTTTGTGTCTCCCAGGCCACTGTAGAGAAAGCTTCTCAAAGGAAATGTGTGCCATTTCCTCTGTCACTAAAGAAGGTATACAGTAAGCCAGGAGGTTTGACAGGTCTTTAACCATCACCTGTTGACACACTGACATCCTCTCAAGGTGCCTGCTGTACCCACTGTGTTTAAGAGTGAGGGGTGAAGAACTATCAGCATTTTCTAAACATATCCCTAATAGCATTACCAAGAATTAAAAAAGAATGAGTCACAGTTGATAAAGGAGCAACAATGCAGTTTGAAAGTTCTTAGGGTGTTTTTCTTTTGAACTATGTAGTTGCTCAGGGTAGGAAGACACTGTCTTCTATTCCCTTATGACTGTTTTCACAGCACTCTAGTTAGGTGTTTATTTCCTCATAGTCCATCTCTTCAAGCAAGAAAGGATCTGCTGGGATCAGAAGAGCAATAAATCTGGGAGACAGTCAGCACCTGTCTGCTTTATTTCAGGTTAGGTTCCGTGTGGCCTGGAAACACCTTGCGCACCCAGGTCCAGTTCACACCGACACAACTGGGACTCCACTGGCTCACTGTGGAAATGGATTGTGACATGTTCCAGAACCTAACCAGCTACAAGAGCATTACCATAGAAGCCCCTGAACTTTCTGCTTAGACTTCCACCTCTATCACCACTCTCCCCAACAAACCCTTGAAGTATAATCTAAACCCAAAACATGCTGGGGAGGGAAATCTGCTTCTCAGATAATGAGTCCCCAGCCCAACTGAGCAGAACTGTCAACAAGACCAAAGCTAGATTCCCAGAAACCAGCAGATAAGACATTTTCCTGTCACCCACAGCTTAGGGCAGCCAGAAAGACAAGTTGTCTTCAAATAGAAATGACTGGGGATCAAGGGTCAAAAAGAAGTCTTTGAAAAGGTACTCAGATTTTCAAAGTTCATTTTCAGAGTATATTGAGATTTGGAGGCTCAGGTATTGTCACAATCATTTTGTAACACAAGAAAACAATACAAACATATGCAACAAATCTATTCAATAAAGTGGACACATCTATCAAATTAGCACAATACCAATTTATTTCAGAGGCATGGAATAAGGTGGGCTAATAATCAGAAAGACTATGGCTAAGAATACCATGTAAGTACTGAAAGTAGGTTTTGTGCAAGGCCCTAAATTCAAACCCTAGTACCACACCAAAAGAAAGGAAGAAAGGTTCTGGTTTCAACAGACTGCATTTCTCAAAGAAACCCTGAAAGGAGCCTCATCTTTGGCATTTTAACATCAACACCTTCAGCAGTGAAACAATACATGTTACTGCAAATTAGGAATAAGGCAGCTTCCCTAGGAATCTCTGAAAGCAAATTCAGGAACAAACTTATGCAATTACCTTTTGTATTTAGCACAAAAATACGTCACACTCATATGGCTTATAAATAACTGCCAATCTGGATAGCCAATAATCTCTGATAATAGTTTTTTTATTAAATAATGGACAGCAACTCCCTTTCTATCCAGCAATTATTCTAGCTCTACTTAAAAGCAGATATTGGGACCTGGGTGTGAATGTAAAAGAAAGAAAAGAGTAAGAACGAGCCTGAAACTCATAATTCAGCTGCACTCTGAGTGAGTTCCTTAACTCTATTCATGCAGTGATCAATGGCATTAATGAGTAAAAGGATCCAACTATCTTCTGGCTGAGAGGTCACATGACTTGCTCTGCAAAGGAAGCAGGGGAAAGAAAAGTTCAATTTAGTAGCATCAAGAGAACATCTACCCCAAGGAAAGCATAAAGAAGAATCTATAGAGAGAAATGGCAAGATTCCACATAGGAACTCAGCTGCTCCACAGCTGAAACTGAAAGAAAACTCCATATTCACCCTTCCCCACTCTGTAAAATGGGAGCTTAGTGAGAATGGCTGGATAGACAGTTTTTTTGTTTTTTCTCAAAAGCCCCTGGGGCTTTTGTAAGTCTTTACACTTACTTTGTAATTTCAAGTGCCTTCTTTAAAACAGATACAAGTTTTGCAGACTAAAAAAGAGAGAGAGAAGTTAATCCTGAGGTTTTCATCAAAAGAAAAAGAAAGTGCAAATATCTTAAAGGACCTATGTTTATATATATCAAACATACATGCAAAACTTATTATAACTGTTTCTACAAAATAATGTATATGTTTTAAAAAATTAGCTGGGCCACCAGTGGCTCACGCCTACAATCCTAGCTACTCAATAGGCTGAGATTGGAGGACCATGTTCAAAGCCAGCCCGGGCAGAAAACTCCGTGAGACTATCTCCAATAAACCACCAGAAACCCGGAAGTGGCACTTTGGCTCAAGTGGTAAAGCACTAGCTTGAGCTGAAGAGCTGAGGGACAGTGCCCAGGCCCAGAGATCAAGCCCCATGACCAACAAAAATAAAAAATTAAGTATTTTTAGGCTGAAAAACAGAACAGAAAAAGAAATGTAACCTAAATTTTTCTCTATTGCTGATTTCTCATAGTATCAAGCAGAAATTACTAATGTACATTTGTCATTAAAACAATAACCCCCCAAAAAGAGCCATAGTAAGAATTTTAAGAACATCAATAACAAGTTATGATAGGGAGCCAGGGTTGTAGCTCAGTGACAGAACACAAATGTAGAACGCGTGGAATTCAGGGTTTAATTTCCTCAAAAAAAGCAAAACAACATAAAGTTTTTTTTTTCTTTCTGCCAGTCCTGGAACTTGAACTCAGGGCCTGGGCACTGTCCCTGAGCTTCTTTTGCCCAAGGCTAGCACTCTACCATTTGAGCCACAGTGCCACTTCCAGCTTTTTCTGTTTATGTGGTACTGAGGAATTGAACCCAGGGCTTCATGCCTGCTAGGCAAGCACTCTACCACTAGTAACCATATTACTAGTCCCCATAAAGATGCTATAATTCATAATACATATGTAAGCATAGTAGATATTGTAGATATTGTGTTTGGGATAACTAAGAAGAACATACTGCTCTTAAGTCAAATTAGTTTGTTGTTGTTTTTTTTAAGTAGGAAAGATACTTTATTGGGGTAGACATGGAGCACCCACTAGTCCATGAAGAAGTCAAGTTTTTAAGAGTTACTATGCAGACAAAAAAAAAAAAAAAGTAATGAGAAAGGAAAGAGAAAAAAGAAAGGACTGGAGATGTGGCCCAAGAGGTAGAATACCTGCCTAGGGAGCACAAAAAACAGCTCCCCAAAGAATCCTATTCTGTTCAAGGTGTCTGAACATTATATAATGAATATATATTTGGCAAATATAACTTCCAGAAATTAATTAGAATGGATATATAAGATCAGAACTATTACATCTGACTACAAAATATAAGTTCACTGGGCAGTTTTATTTTTTTTCAATCCCATTGGGGATAAGAACTGGAGATTTTAAAAGAAAACAACTCTAGTAAAAGGCATAGTATTTGAAAGAATACAATAAAGTCAGATCTTTAGAAAGAACTCAATTAATCAGATAAATTACCCAAAGAATTCATATTAGAACAGAGTGTGTTGATGGAACATTTACACTTGCCTAGATCAGAAACTAGGAATTTGCAATTTCAAATTCAGGTATTACTAATTAACAACAAAAATGAAAACAAAAAAACCCAAGCTGTAATTCAGGTTTTCTTTTCAAAACAGCATTTTCTAAGACCTTTGTGGTATTCCAAATATTACCCAGGTGGTTATAGAAGACAGAACACAGCTCATGGCAATTATAATTCAACTAAGCCACTATTTGTCCAACACAAACACATGAAAAATTGTAACATTACTGTTATATTTGCCTCCAAGTATGACAATATGCACAATAATGACTAATAAATTCTACTAATTAGGTCTGTAGCTACTCCCCTAAAAGCTGGTACTTACATTGAGTCGCACAGTGAGTTGGCACACAGGTGGATATATACTCAGGGCCAAATCATCCACACTAAAAGCAGAAGGCAAAAAATACGCATTAACACAAGGCAACAAGCTCAATGTGGTTGTTTCCACTTGGATATGACTAAGGAAAAAGTGACTATTCCAGAAATGACAAAATAATCAGAAGTTCAAATGGCTGGAGGTTCTATAAGACAATCTAATCTGTTTTGTTTAAAAATGTTAATGTCAAGGCAGGCTCCTGCCTGTAATCCTAGCTACTCAGGAGGCTCTTATTTCCAATTAACCACCAGAAAACTGGAAGTGGCACTGTGGCTTAAAGTGTAGAGCACCAGCCTTGAGTGAAAGAGCTCAGGGACAGTGCCCAGGCCCTGAGTTCAAGCCCCACAAAGACAAAAAAAAAAAAAAAAGACTTAGAGGTGTAGCTCAAGTGGTACAGTGCCAGCTGTGAGAGAAAAAAATTGAGTGAGAGTACAAGTCTATGAGTTCAAGGCCTGACACATACACAAAAAAGAACTAATCCAGTATAGGAAAAAAAAAGAAAAGAAAAGAAAATAGGGGCTGAGAAGGTGGCTCAGTGATGGAGTGCTTGCCTCGCATGCATGAGGCCCTGGGTTTGATTGCTTAGCACCACATAAGCAGAAAAAGCTGTAGGTGGCGCTGTGGCTCTAGTGGTAGAGGACTAGCCCAGGCCCAGAGTTCAGGCCCCATGACGGACAAAAAACAAAAAAAAAAAAGAAAGAAAATAGATGAATACAAATGAAGGCTGTAAAAATTATCACTGAAGTACTTTTCCTATACAGTTTAACATATTTTTTTTAATTTGCATTTATTTTTGCCAGTCCTGAGATGAACTCAGGGCCTAGGCAGTGTCCCTGAGCTTCTTTTGCTCAAGGCTAGCACCACCACTTCAGCCACAGCGCCACTTCCAGCTTTTTTCTGCTTATGTGTACTGAGGAATCAAACCCAGGGCTTCATGCATGCTAGTCAATCACTCTACCACTAAGCCACATTCTTAGCCCTCAAAATATTTTTAAAACTAGGGTGAAACCTTGGGGTGACAGCACAAGCTGGTATTAAAACATTCTCACTCTCAAGTAAGAAATGTACTTACCTGGGGCTGATCTCATCACAAATATCCACAATGTCATCTAGCTGGGCCACCTGGTCCTTCTTCCCATTCTCTGCCACTAAGAGCCGAATTTTCTTCAGGCAGGCCTTGGATGCTTTCACCAGTGCAAGGCATGGCACTATGAGCTCTTGGTCCTCCTCTGACCAATATGAGTCCTGATTGCTTGGAAACCCCAATGCATCATCCTCATTACTGTGGTTGTCAGAGTTGTCTTCCTCAGAATCATTCAAGAGGCCACGGTAAGGATCACATTCCTCGACAGCCTAAGACACGCCATCATATAGACCAATGAAATAAAAAGTCCTATTATGTTTTTAGGACCACAATTGAGTTGTCCACCTCAGTATCCACATCAGTAATGGCTAGAGTTCAATCACTTTATCAATCTCCTTGTCTAGCAATGGAGCAGAGAGGAATGGCACTACCCTACACAGCAGCATAGCATAAGAGATAGAAAACACAGAACATGGGACAGGAGAATGGACTTATTTCTTGTGCTTGGGAAACTCCCTCTTTATGACCAATTCTCATCTCCTCATCAAGAATTGCCTTCCAATAAGCAGAGACAGAGCTTCCCTTACCTGCTCCATTTATTTATTTATTTATTTATTGGTCGGTCATGGGGCTTGAACTCTGGACCTGAGCACTGTCCCTCAGCTCTTCAGCTCAAGGCTAATGCTCTACCACTTGAGCCACAGTGCCACTTCCAGCTTTCTACTGGTTTATTGGAGATAAGAGTTTCACAGACTTTCTTGCCTGGGCTGGCTTTGAACCGTGATCCTCAGATCTCAGCTTCCTGAGTATCTAGGATTACAGGCGTGAGCCACCAGCGCCCGGCTTACCTGTTCCATTTCTTCATGTGCATCCTTCACAAAATCTACACTCTTGGTCAGCATAAGAAGGGCTGCAGCTTTGTTATCTGTGAGTGAAAAATAAAAACATTAGAATTAGAGGAAAAAAAAACAATAATTCTTGTAAGACTGCAAATGGCAATCAACAATGTTTGCTTGCTTGCTTGCTTCCTTCTGTCTTTCCTTCCTCTATGTGTGCCCATCTTGGGGCTTAATCTCAGGGTCTGGGTGCTATCCCTGAACTCTTTTTAGCCCAAGGCTAGTGCTCTACTACTTAAGCCACAGCTCCACTTCTGGCTTTTTGGCAATTAATTGGTGATAAAAGTCTCATGGTTTTTACTGTCTGGGCTGGCTTCCATCCTCAGATCTCAGCCTCCTGAGTAGCTAGGATTATAGGCATGAGCCACTGGTGCCTGGCCCAATGTTGTTTCTTTTGAAGAAAATATCCAGGTCAATAGAGTGTAGTAGTTTAAAATAAAATATCCCCTGCTACTTAGAAAGAGTGTTAAGAAGATTTCCTATCGTTTCTGTCCTTTGGCCCTTCCCCTCCTTCCTCTACCCCACTTCTTTACTCACTGCCAAAAAAAGATAAGGTGTGGCAAAGTATCAGTACTTACATATTAATATTAATGTTAAATTACATATATATTTTTCCACTTATTTCTATAGAAATTAAAATATAAACATGTCACAAAACTAGGAGCTAGACACAAGAGGTTGCTCTGCATTTGTGAGCAGTCAGTGGTGCCCCTAACACTCTTACCCACCTGTTGGTATTCGAGGCACTTGCTCACATGCAGCCCAGACACTGTTGCAGGAGATAAGGTCATTGTTCTCAGGGCTGAAGAATGGAATCAATAAGGAAATATCAGTAAACGAGATTCTTCTGTAAAACGCTCTTTCCTGCTAGTCGTTATTCTCAGCTATAACTTCTTGTGTGTGTGCGTGTGTGTTCCTTAGCATTTTTTGCTCAAGGTTAAAGCTCTATCACTTGAGCCACAGTTCTACTTTTAGTTTTTTTGAGGATTAATTGCAAATTAGAGTTTCACAGACTTCCTGCCTAGTCTGGCTTTGAACTGTGATCCACAGATTTCAGTTTCCTGAGTAGCTAGGATTACAAGTGTGAACCAATGATGCCCACTCAGCTAGCAATAACTTTGCTGTCAGGAGGACTTTCCTCCCCAAGTCAAGGAAATCCATTAACTGCTAACCCACACTGTGGTATCACTACCTCTGAGCTGGGGTGGTAAGAAGCACTTCCACAAGCTGAGCCATGCCATCCATGATGTCCAGAACAGAGCTGCGGACCAGCTTTCTCAGGGTGATCCCTGTGGCCAAGCACAAAGGGTAGCAGCTTAAGCCCCTTCTAAAATGTCACCATTCAAAGTAGTACAGAACATGCTTTAGATAAAGAGCCAGCACAAAAGTCTTCTTATATTCCTATGTCATTTTTCTGTCCTTCCCACCAGTCCTTAGTGCTGTTCTTCAAGAGATTTAGAATAAAATCTTTCGATGACAACATGCATTCGTTCATTAGAGACACTGAGCCTGGATAAATGTGAAAATACATTGGGAATCTAAACCATGTGTGAATAATCTTTAAGATCTATATTCATTTATAATTTGGCATGATTATAATTAGGGCATAAACTTACAGGCTGGGCTGGTGGAAACAACCATGAAGGAACATGGAAATAGGGTGTGATATGATTAAGTAGAAGAGAATAGATGTGACTTAGGTATGGAGCTGAGATTCAGCTAGCTCCTGCAACAGAATGGGTTGGAGAGGAAAGAACCAGTGAAAGTCTTATGTTCAGGCAAGCCCGGGGGAAATGGAAAGTTAGAGCATTTATACCTTACTAAAGGAGCATACAGAGATTACTTACTTTATAAAATTGTCACTGGCTACATTCTATGGAAGAAGCTAAATACTTACATTGGAGCAAGATAAAAGTATCTATATATATAATCCATTATTTTAGCAAAGATTTATCCTATACGTCCAATGTTAATATACACATAGTGACTTACCCTGATCCTTAGGAAGAGAATAGTACACTGCAACAATTGCCCTGATGGCAGCATGGACCTGCTCACAGATTCTCTGGGTTTCCTACAAAGTGACAGATCAGTTCCAGAGTGAAAAAGGGAATAAAAAAACAAGAGAGAATAAATTAGATTAATACAGTCAACCCACCTACTGAGGAAGAGAGCAGACATCTATACGATAGCAACAGTATCATAGTAGGGCTTTGGAAGTCCTACTGAGAGTCATCCCATACCAGAAAGAAGTTAGCTGGACCCCAGATACTGGCTAACAACTCAATAAAGCATTAAGCAACAGCAGGAAAACTTATTGCTGCTATGCTATATTCAAAGATATCCATGATATGTCATGAGATGGTCACCATATCTTAGGTCAAGAGTTAGGTAAACTAAGGCCCAAAGGTCAAATCAGATCTACTGTCAGTTTTTGTAAACAAAATGCTATTAGACACAGGCAAGCTCATTGTTTTATATACTGTCTACTGTTATGTTTATACTTCTAAGGCACAGGTGAGTAGCTAAAAAGACCAAATTATTTACTATTTGGCCTTTTACAGAAAAAAAAGAAAAGTAGCTGGGCGCCAGTGGCTCCCGCCTATAATCCTAGCTACGCAGGATGCTGAGATCTGAGGATCGCAGTTCAAAGCCAGCCTGGATAGGAGAGGTTGTGAGAATCTAATCTCCAATAAACCACCAGAAAACCAGAAGTGGCACTGTGGCTTAAGTGGTAGAGCCCTCGCCTTGAGCTGAAAAGCTCAGGGATAGCACCCAGGCCCAGAGTTCAAGCCCCATGACCACCATCAACAAAAAAAACAAACAACAACAAAAAACTCACAAAAAGTAACAACCCTTATATAGGACCATTAACCAAGTAGGGAGGCTTAAGTGCGTGTGTGTGTGTGTGTGTGTGTGTGTGTGTGTGTGTGTGTGTGTATCTCACAATAGAATTACAATATGTAACTAAAGATAATTAACATGGACAGAATGATGCCAAATATTGACTGTTTACCTTATCATTGATTTTCTAGTCTTTCTTTCCTTGTGCCATTGCTAAGTTCTAAACCAGTACTTAGTAAAATGTGGTCTAAATTGGTATCAGCTGACAAACTGCTACCAGTTTGAGATGAGGTAAGTACAGTGATTCAGAATGCATAGATCTTTTATGGGAATCTGGCATTAGAGCAACACTCAAGCACAGATAAGCCATTCATTATAAACAACTGAGCAACCCTCCCTCCCTCCCCCACCCCAGGTTGTTGTACTAGGGAATGAACTCTGGGCCCTAGCTGACTAGGCAGTCGTTTGAGCCACATCCCCAGCCATTTTGGCAATTTTTTAAGTGCTGCTATATATTTTTTTTTTCAAGCTATATTGTTTATTCTTAAAAGGACAGTCCAGGAGTCTAACTCTCTGCTCCTGCATGAGGAACAGGAAATGTTTGTCCTTTTCTAAAACCCTGCAATACTAAAATAAATCCTTCACAAAACTTTCAAAGTAAAAGGGTGGTCCAAGAGCTGCATTTACAATACGATCTAATATTTTTGTAAAGAGAACCAGGGGCAGATCCATAAACGAACGCGAATGTGTAGATGTGTAAAATACATAAGGAAATGAAAAGGGACTTGAGTGGGGTGATAGACACATTTTAGCACCCTTAGATGTCTTGAATTTTCTATCGTCTAGATATTACGGATTAAATAAAAATAGATTGGATGTATTAGCCCTACCTCCTCTATGCCAGGCGGCACTGAGGCATTTAGTATTCCCGTGGTGTGACAGATAAGGAAAGTAACTCTCCCGGCTAGAGAGTAGAAACGGTGCAGGGAGAAGGAGCAGATTCCTAAGGGGTGAGGAGGGAGCCCGAGGATCCCACCTGTGGAGAAGGCGAAGGCGAGGGCGCAGGAAGTCGAGAGAAGACCGCGGTGAGGGTGGTGGCTTCCCCGGACACTTTCACGGCCGCCTCCTCTGGAGGGTTGGCAGAGGAAGGAGTAAGTGCGGAGCGGCTGCGGCTGCGCTGCACAGGCTTCGATGGCGAAGTGCCCATCAACTCCCCACCCCGGCGCGTTCGGGAGCCTCGGGAGCCGGGCGCGGCCAGGCGTTCCCGGGAGGCCAAGAGGAGGTGTGAGGGAGGCGGGGAGGAGGTGGGAGGGGGGCGGGGAGGAGGTGGGAGGGAGGCGGGGAGGAGGTGGGAGGGAGGCGGGGAGGAGGTGGGAGGGAGGCGGGGAGGAGGTGGGAGGGAGGCGGGGAGGAGGTGGGAGGGAGGCGGGGAGGAGGTGTGAGGGAGGCGGGGAGGGGGTGCGAGGGAGGCGGGGAGGAGGTGGGAGGGAGGCGGGGAGGAGGTGGGAGGGAGGCGGGGAGGGGGTGGGAGGGAGGCGGGGAGGGGGTGCGAGGGAGGTGGGGAGAGGGTGTGAGGGAGGCGGGGAGGAGGTGGGAGGGAGGCGGGGAGGAGGTGTGAGGGAGGCGGGGAGGGGGTGTGAGGGAGGCGGGGAGGAGGTGGGAGGGAGGCGGGGAGGGGGTGTGAGGGAGGCGGGGAGGAGGTGTGAGGGAGGCGGGGAGGAGGTGTGAGGGAGGCGGGGAGGAGGTGGGAGGGAGGCGGGGAGGAGGTGTGAGGGAGGCGGGGAGGAGGTGTGAGGGAGGCGGGGAGGGGGTGCGAGGGAGGCGGGGAGAGGGTGTGAGGGAGGCGGGGAGGAGGTGTGAGGGAGGCGGGGAGGAGGTGTGAGGGAGGCGGGGAGGAGGTGGGAGGGGGGCGGGGAGGGGGTGTGAGGGAGGCGGGGAGGAGGTGTGAGGGAGGCGGGGAGGAGGTGTGAGGGAGGGGAGGAGGTGGGAGGGAGGCGGGGAGGAGGTGGGAGGGAGGCGGGGAGGAGGTGTGAGGGAGGGGAGGAGGTGTGAGGGAGGCGGGGAGGAGGTGGGAGGGAGGCGGGGAGGAGGTGGGAGGGAGGCGGGGAGGAGGTGGGAGGGAGGCGGGGAGGGGGTGGGAGGGAGGCGGGGAGGAGGTGGGAGGGAGGCGGGGAGGAGGTGTGAGGGAGGCGGGGAGGGGGTGCGAGGGAGGGGAGGAGGTGGGAGGGAGGGGAGGAGGTGTGAGGGAGGGGAGGAGGTGTGAGGGAGGCGGGGAGGAGGTGGGAGGGAGGCGGGGAGGAGGTGGGAGGGAGGCGGGGAGGAGGTGGGAGGGAGGCGGGGAGGAGGTGTGAGGGAGGCGGGGAGGGGGTGCGAGGGAGGGGAGGAGGTGGGAGGGAGGCGGGGAGGAGGTGGGAGGGAGGCGGGGAGGTGGGAGGGAGGCGGGGAGGAGGTGTGAGGGAGGCGGGGAGGAGGTGTGAGGGAGGCGGGGAGGAGGTGCGAGGGAGGCGGGGAGGGGGTGTGAGGGAGGCGGGGAGGAGGTGTGAGGGAGGCGGGGAGGAGGTGTGAGGGAGGCGGGGAGGGGGTGCGAGGGAGGCGGGGAGGGGGTGCGAGGGAGGCGGGGAGGGGGTGGGAGGGAGGCGGGGAGGAGGTGTGAGGGAGGCGGGGAGGAGGTGTGAGGGAGGCGGGGAGAGGGTGTGAGGGAGGCGGGGAGGAGGTGGGAGGGAGGCGGGGAGGAGGTGGGAGGGAGGCGGGGAGGAGGTGTGAGGGAGGCGGGGAGGAGGTGGGAGGGAGGCGGGGAGGGGGTGGGAGGGAGGCGGGGAGGAGGTGGGAGGGAGGCGGGGAGGAGGTGGGAGGGAGGCGGGGAGGAGGTGTGAGGGAGGGGAGGAGGTGTGAGGGAGGCGGGGAGGAGGTGTGAGGGAGGCGGGGAGGAGGTGGGAGGGGGGCGGGGAGGAGGTGTGAGGGAGGCGGGGAGGAGGTGGGAGGGAGGCGGGGCGGGGAGGTGGGAGGGAGGCGGGGAGGAGGTGGGAGGGAGGCGGGGAGGTGGGAGGGAGGCGGGGAGGAGGTGGGAGGGAGGCGGGGAGGAGGTGGGAGGGAGGCGGGGAGGAGGTGTGAGGGAGGCGGGGAGGTGTGAGGGAGGCGGGGAGGAGGTGTGAGGGAGGCGGGGAGGAGGTGTGAGGGAGGCGGGGGGGAGGAGGTGTGAGGGAGGCGGGGAGGAGGTGGGAGGGGGGCGGGGAGGAGGTGTGAGGGAGGCGGGGAGGAGGTGTGAGGGAGGCGGGGAGGAGGTGGGAGGGAGGCGGGGCGGGGAGGTGGGAGGGAGGCGGGGAGGAGGTGGGAGGGAGGCGGGGAAGTGGGAGGGAGGCGGGGAGGAGGTGGGAGGGAGGCGGGGAGGAGGTGTGAGGGAGGCGGGGAGGAGGTGGGAGGGAGGCGGGGAGGTGGGAGGGAGGCGGGGAGGAGGTGGGAGGGAGGCGGGGAGGAGGTGTGAGGGAGGCGGGGAGGAGGTGGGAGGGGGGCGGGGAGGTGTGAGGGGGGCGGGGAGGAGGTGGGAGGGAGGCGGGGAGGAGGTGGGAGGGAGGCGGGGAGGAGGTGTGAGGGAGGCGGGGAGGAGGTGTGAGGGAGGCGGGGAGGGGGTGTGAGGGAGGCAGGGAGGAGGTGGGAGGGAGGCGGGGAGGAGGTGTGAGGGAGGCGGGGAGGAGGTGTGAGGGGGGCGGGGAGGAGGTGGGAGGGGGGCGGGGAGGAGGAGTGAGGGAGGCGGGGAGGAGGTGGGAGGGAGGCGGGGAGAGGGTGTGAGGGAGGCGGGGAGGAGGTGGGAGGGAGGCGGGGAGGGGGTGCGAGGGAGGCGGGGAGGAGGTGGGAGGGAGGCGGGGAGGAGGTGTGAGGGAGGCGGGGAGGAGGTGGGAGGGGGGCGGGGAGGAGGTGGGAGGGAGGCGGGGAGGACGTGTGAGGGAGGGGAGGAGGTGTGAGGGAGGCGGGGAGGAGGTGTGAGGGAGGCGGGGAGGAGGTGTGAGGGAGGCGGGGAGGAGGTGTGAGGGAGGCGGGGAGGAGGTGGGAGGGAGGCGGGGAGGGGGTGCGAGGGAGGCGGGGAGGAGGTGGGAGGGAGGCGGGGAGGAGGTGGGAGGGAGGCGGGGAGGGGGTGGGAGGGAGGCGGGGAGGAGGTGGGAGGGAGGCGGGGAGGAGGTGGGAGGGGGGCGGGGAGGAGGTGGGAGGGAGGCGGGGAGGAGGTGGGAGGGAGGCGGGGAGGAGGTGGGAGGGGGGCGGGGAGGAGGTGGGAGGGAGGCGGGGAGGAGGTGGGAGGGAGGCGGGGAGGAGGTGGGAGGGAGGCGGGGAGGAGGTGTGAGGGAGGCGGGGAGGAGGTGCGAGGGAGGCGGGGAGGAGGTGTGAGGGAGGGGAGGAGGAGTGAGGGAGGCGGGGAGGAGGTGGGAGGGAGGCGGGGAGGAGGTGTGAGGGAGGGGAGGAGGTGTGAGGGAGGCGGGGAGGGGGTGGGAGGGAGGCGGGGAGGAGGTGTGAGGGAGGGGAGGAGGTGGGAGGGAGGCGGGGAGGAGGTGGGAGGGAGGCGGGGAGGAGGTGTGAGGGAGGCGGGGAGGAGGTGGGAGGGAGGAGGGGAGGAGGTGCGAGGGAGGCGGGGAGGGGGTGCGAGGGAGGGGAGGAGGTGGGAGGGAGGCGGGGAGGAGGTGGGAGGGAGGCGGGGAGGTGTGAGGGAGGCGGGGAGGAGGTGGGAGGGGGGCGGGGAGGAGGTGGGAGGGAGGCGGGGAGGAGGTGTGAGGGAGGCGGGGAGGAGGTGGGAGGGAGGCGGGGAGGGGGTGTGAGGGAGGCGGGGAGGAGGTGGGAGGGAGGCGGGGAGGAGGTGTGAGGGAGGCGGGGAGGAGGTGGGAGGGAGGCGGGGAGGTGGGAGGGAGGCGGGGAGGAGGTGGGAGGGAGGCGGGGAGGAGGTGTGAGGGAGGCGGGGAGGAGGTGAGAGGGAGGCGGGGAGGTGTGAGGGGGGCGGGGAGGAGGTGGGAGGGAGGCGGGGAGGAGGTGGGAGGGAGGCGGGGAGGAGGTGGGAGGGAGGCGGGGAGGAGGTGGGAGGGAGGCGGGGAGGAGGTGTGAGGGAGGCGGGGAGGAGGTGGGAGGGAGGCGGGGAGGTGGGAGGGAGGCGGGGAGGAGGTGGGAGGGAGGCGGGGAGGAGGTGTGAGGGAGGCGGGGAGGAGGTGGGAGGGAGGCGGGGAGGTGTGAGGGGGGCGGGGAGGAGGTGGGAGGGAGGCGGGGAGGAGGTGTGAGGGAGGCGGGGAGGAGGTGGGAGGGGGGCGGGGAGGAGGTGGGAGGGAGGCGGGGAGGAGGTGGGAGGGAGGCGGGGAGGTGTGAGGGAGGCGGGGAGGAGGTGTGAGGGAGGCGGGGAGGAGGTGGGAGGGAGGCGGGGAGGAGGTGGGAGGGGGGCGGGGAGGAGGTGGGAGGGAGGCGGGGAGGAGGTGGGAGGGAGGCGGGGAGGAGGTGGGAGGGAGGAGGGGAGGAGGTGGGAGGGAGGCGGGGAGGAGGTGGGAGGGGGGCGGGGAGGAGGTGGGAGGGAGGAGGGGAGGAGGTGGGAGGGGGGCGGGGAGGAGTGAGGGCGGCGGGGAGGAGGTGTGAGGGAGGAGGGGAGGAGGTGGGAGGGAGGCGGGGAGGAGTGAGGGAGGCGGGGAGGAGGTGGGAGGGGGGCGGGGAGGAGGTGTGAGGGAGGCGGGGAGGAGGTGGGAGGGGGGCGGGGAGGAGGTGGGAGGGAGGCGGGGAGGAGGTGGGAGGGGGGCGGGGAGGAGGTGGGAGGGGGGCGGGGAGGAGGTGGGAGGGAGGCGGGGAGGAGGTGGGAGGGGGGCGGGGAGGAGGTGGGAGGGAGGCGGGGAGGGGGTGGGAGGGAGGCGGGGAGGGGGTGGGAGGGGGGCGGGGAGGGGGTGGGAGGGAGGAGGGGAGGAGGTGGGAGGGAGGCGGGGAGGAGGTGGGAGGGAGGCGGGGAGGAGGTGTGAGGGAGGCGGGGAGGAGGTGGGAGGGAGGCGGGGAGGAGGTGGGAGGGAGGCGGGGAGGAGGTGGGAGGGAGGCGGGGAGGGGGTGGGAGGGAGGCGGGGAGGGGGTGGGAGGGAGGCGGGGAGGGGGTGGGAGGGAGGCGGGGAGGGGGTGGGAGGGAGGCGGGGAGGGGGTGGGAGGGAGGCGGGGAGGGGGTGGGAGGGAGGCGGGGAGGAGGTGGGAGGGAGGCGGGGAGGGGGTGGGAGGGAGGCGGGGAGGGGGTGGGAGGGAGGCGGGGAGGAGGTGGGAGGGAGGCGGGGAGGGGGTGGGAGGGAGGCGGGGAGGGGGTGGGAGGGAGGCGGGGAGGAGGTGGGAGGGAGGCGGGGAGGGGGTGGGAGGGAGGCGGGGAGGAGGTGGGAGGGAGGCGGGGCGGGGGGGGGGTCCCCGGGGTCCCCCCGACAGGAGGCACTCACTGAGTCTCCTCCAGAACGCGTCCCGCTGGAACTCCCCGGCGGTCTCCTGGGCTTCGCCGACTGGCAGTGTCCGGGTTGAAGGGTGGGGGGAGAGGGGCGCAGCGGCCCGAGGGAAAGGCGGAGGTGAGCGGAGCCCCGTCCTCCGCCCGCCCCGAACGCCGCCCCGGCCCGTCCCCCTGCGCCAGCTCACCCCGCACTCTCGGTAGCAGCAGCCGCAGCTCCGCCGCCAGGTGCTGGAGCTGCTCCCGGGCGGGGACCGCGGCGACCCCGGCCATGTCAGTCAGTCAGTCGCTCGCTCGCCGAGGCCCGAAGCTTCGCCGTGGCGGCTCCACTTCCGGCAACAACCCTCCTCGCCCCGCCCCTTCCGCCCCAAGATCTGGCCACGCCCCCCGCGCGCTCAACGTCACCTTCCGGTTCCCAGAGGCTTGGTTTACACTGCGAGGCTGAGGTCCGTGATTGTTTCTTATTCGTCATTCATTCATTTATTTGATTAGTTGCAGACACCCTCCCCCGCCCCCCCCACGACTAAGGCAGCGCAAAGCCCATAATCCTGTGGGAAGACAGGGCTGGGGACTGATACCTCAGGGAGAGTCAGGGTTTGACCCAAGATCACCCAGCTTCCCAATGCCAAAAACGGTGGCCTTGACACCTGCTGATTTCCAGGCCCTGGAGCTGGATCCCTTACAAGGAAGAACTCTTAACAAACCCAGTGGGCCTGAGACACAGCCAGGCACACACCGGGCTCTCACCCAGTGGATGCCCTTGACTAGGGCTAGCTGTGCCACCTTAGGGGAGGAAGGAATCAAGTCATTATTTAGACTTTTCTGCAGTTCACTCCTCAGTAGTAATTTCTCCTGCGTGCAGGTGTTCACCTGTAAGTAGCTCCTCGAAGCTTTCCCACTCATAGTGGCCTTCCACCTGTTATTGGGACAGGGACCGGGGCTACAGATGTGGAGGTTAGACTTCTGCCCATCTGCTAGTGGTGGGATACAGCTTTCAGGAGCTCAGATGGCTTTTTAACTGCACCATGAAGGTTCCAAATGTAGCAGAATTCAGTGTCCACACACGACGAACCAGTACAGGTGTAAGCAATGTCAACCAGGTCCGCAAAGGGGAGAATAAAAGTGCAACAGTGCCATATGTCACATGAAGGAAATAGCAGGAATAAATCTGCCAGATGTACAGCAGTAGCATAAGTAAGTGGACAGGTACGATTTTCAAGTATTTTCCTTGGTGGAGATGAGATCTGAGGTTGTGACCAAAGCATCGCTGCAGCAGACTCCAACACAGATAAGCCATCAAGGGTATGTTAAAAAACACTAACTGGAAAAAGAAGCAGAAAAGAACCATTAGTAGACCAAAACCTGGAAGGGGTCATTATTGGTGGCTCCTGTGAGTATGATACATTCTGTCTTATGGTAAGATGTCTGGTTTTTAATGTTTTAATCACACTTGTAACACAACATACAAATGGCCTTTTGGATAAGCTCAAGCATACACAGGAATATTGCAAAAACAAAGGAGGCAAAAACACCAATTATTAGAGTATCTTATAAGTAAAGTAATAAGATTACTGAGACTTTTGGGAATTTTGTGTTGGTCCTGGGGCTTGAACTCAAGAGCCTAGGTATTATACCTGTGCTTTTTTTGTTCAAGGCTAGCACTCTATCACTTGAGCCCCAGCTGCACTTCCAGCCTTTTTGGTAGTTTTATGAAGATAAGCATCTGCCCCAGCTGTCTTTGAATGGCAGTCCTCAAATCTCAGTCTCCTGAGTAGCTGGGATTATAGTCCTGAGCTACTGTCATGAGGTTGAGATTTTGTATCTAATTCATAACTGTTATGCAATGGATCCAATGAGATGTATATCTTCTTAGATTGTATGTCTGGCTTCTTACCTGGAGAATCCCACTTATAAATGTTAGGCTGCCTTGTAGGAAATGTCCATCAATAAACATCCCAAAGGAAAAGCAGTAACCCAATTTGCCATCAATGATTTCACCAAAAAACCATGGTCCTGAGAAAAGCAATAGAGAAGATTAAAGAGCTATAACTCTGCTTACATACATCGTGAAATATACATATTAGAATAATCAAGAGAGGGGCTGGGAAGGTGGCTCAGTGGTAGGGCGCTTGCCTTGCATGCATGAGGTCCTGGGTTTGATTCCTCAGCACCACATAAGCAGAAAAAGTGGGAAGTGGTGCTATGGCTCAAGAGGTATAGCGCTAGCCTTGAGCTGAAGAGCTGAGGAACAGTGCCCAGGCCCAGAATTCAGGCCCCCCAACTGATTAAAAAAAAAAAAAGAAGAAGAAGAATCAAGAGATACAAGACTGGCCATCTAGTAGCATTTTACTTTGTAACATTTCTGCTTTGCTAATCACTAGGTTATATCTGACATCCTAAGAAACTATTTGCTCGATATACACTTCATGGAATTACAAAATAATTTTGAGTATAGGGAATAAAAATACAGCTTGTAGGTTCTGCAAGCATGTGTTTAAAACACACTATAAAAATTTTAATATTCTGTTGCAATAATAGCCTTAATAGAGTACAGCAGTATTTAATTAAGAGGCAAAGAGGTACTCTGCTGAAGCTTTTTTTTTTTTTTTTGTCAGTCATGGGGCTTGAATTCTGGGCCTGGGCACTGTCCCTCAGCTCTTCAGCTCAAGGCAAGCGCTCTACCACTTGAGCCACAGCAGCACGTCAGTTTTCTGGGTTTTTTTTTTTTTGTTGTTTTTTGGATCCAGTTTTGGGGCCTGAACTCTGGCCTGGGCGCTGTCCCTCAGCTCTTCAGCTAAGGCTAGTGCTCTACCACTTGAGTCACAGTGCCACTTCCGGCTTTTTTCTTTTTGTTTAGTGCTGAGGAATCGAACCCAGGGCCTCATGCATGCAAGGCAAGTGCTCTACCACTGAGCCACCTTCGCAGCCCATTCTGGTGGTTTATTAAAGATAAGAGTCTCATGGACTTTTCTGCATGGGCTGGCTTTGAACAGTGAGCCTCAGATCTCAGCCTCCTGAGTAGCTAGGATTAGAGGTGTGAGCCACCGGCGCCCGGCTACAGCAAATCTTATATATAGAAAATAGCTTCAGGTGCTGGGAAGGTAGCTCAGTGGTAGAGCGCTTGCCTTGCATGCCTGAGGCCCTGGGTTCGATTCCTAGCACCACATAAGCAAAAAGAAAAAAAGCTGGAAGTGGCGCTGTGGCTCAAGTGAGTGATAGAGCGCTAGCCTTGAGCTGAAGAGCTGAGGGACAGCACCCAGGCCCAGAGTTCAGGCCCCACGACTGGACCCCCCCCCAAAAAAAAAGAAAGAAAGAAAATAGCTTCAGCCCTCAAGTGCTTGCCTTAAACTGAAGAGTGCAGGGATAGCGCCCAAGCCCAGAATTCAAGCCCCACGACTAACCAAAAAAAAAAAAATAGTAGTGGGCATAGTAGTATAACAGATAATCTCAGATATGCTTGAACTCATAGTTCAACTGCTTCTCTTTTTTTTTTTTTCAGTACTGGAGCTTAAACTCATGGCCTGGTACTGTCCCTGAGCTGCTTTTTGCTCAAGGCTAGCACCCTACCACTTGAGCCACACCACCACTTCCAGCTTTTTCTGTTTCTGTGGTACTGTGGAATTACATCCAGGGCTTCATGCATGCAAAGCAAGCACTCTACCACTAAGCCACCTTCCCAGCCCTGCTTTTCCATCTTTTGAGATGAATTTTTAAGATTTACACACTAGCTGGGCACTGTTGACTCACTCCAGTAATTCTAGCTACTCAAGAGGCTGATATCTGAGAATCCAGGTTCAAAGCAAGCCCAGGTACCAAAGTCTGTGAGACTCTTGTCTCCAATTAACCAGAAAAAAGCCAGAAGTAGAGGTGTGGCTTAGTGGTAGAGTGCTAGCCTTGAGTGGAAAAAGCCAAATAAGAGTTCAAGGATCCTAAGTTCATGCCCCAGTGCTGGCACAAACACAAAAACAAAAAGTCACACTCTGGTAAATATTCAATGAATTGTGCACAAAACATTGAGTTTGCAAGCTAGAAAGACAACCAACTAATTGGGAAAAAATATTTACCAGCAATATATCAGACAAGGGGTTAACATCCTATATATACAGGGAACTCAAGAAACTAATCCTCCCAAACCTAACAAACCAATTACTAAATGGGCAAGGGAACTAAAGAGGGACTTCTCAAATGAAGAAATAAAAATGGCAAAGAAACACATGAGGAAATGTTCATCATCCCTGGTGGTGAAGGAAATGCAAATAAAGACAGCCCTGAGATACCACCTTACCCCAGTCAGAATGTCCCACATCCACAAATCAGCCAACGACAAATGCTGGAGGGGATGTGGAGAAAGAGGAACCTTATTACACTGCTGGTGGGAATGTACACTTATACAACTACTTTGGAAAGCAGTCTGGAGGGTCCTTAGAAAGCTAAAGATTGACCTCCCTTACGACCCAGTCATACCACTTCTAGGCATCTACCCTGAACAACAGGAACCAATATACAAGGACACGTGCACCTCCATGTTTATTGCAGCACTGTTCACAATAGCTAGGATATGGAAACACCACAGATGAATGGATCCAAAAATTGTGGCATCTATATACAATGGAATATTATGCAACCATTAAAAATGACAAAATAATGGCATTTGCAGGGAAATGGATGGAGCTAGAAGGAATCATGTTGAGCGAGGTAAGCCAAGAGCAAAGAGACAAACGGTACATGGTCTCCCTGATAAGTGAATGCTAAATCCAAAGTGTTAGTTGATACGACAAAACTAACAGGACTTAAGAAACAAAGAATTCCCACTCATCTGGTCGAACCACTACTAAATATCCCCATGCTGCTGATCACATGTACGGTGTATATGTGTACACCATTATATGTTATAGACTGTGATAGACAATTTGCTCCAGGAAAGTTAGAATGAACTTGTGACTTTAAATGAGCATCATTATTCCACAATACTGTGAAATTTGGGAAATTATGTAATCACTTAATCACAATTAAAAAAAAAAAGAACCTCGGGGAAGGTAGGGAGGGAGGGGATGGTAGGGGGAAAACAATGGAGGAGGTAACAATGCTCGATAGGAAGTGTACTCATTACCTTACTCATGTAACTGTAACCCTCTGTATAGTATCTTTACAATAAAAAATTAAAAATAAAAAAAAAACATTGAGTTTGGTGATGAGCACAGACGTGAACAAGAGAAAAGGTAACAATGGATATTTTAACAAGAAAAGAGTTAATAAACACAGAGGTTCTGATAAAGGTATAAAACGTGATTAAAAAGAGGATAAGAATCTTAAAGTAGTCGAGTAAG